TGTCTATTGTGAGCCGCCCGGAGTCCTTCGGGAGTGGGCGGCATACAAGACAAATAAACTAAACTAAACTAAACTATATTTTCATAGTTGAACCTTCCTCAAACTGTGTGTTCTCCAGAAACAGGACCTCAGCCTACCGGGTAATGCAGAGACATCTGAGAGGCGAAGACCATACTGCCAAAAAGCATCTTGCTTGGGGGGGGAGGGGAATTATAGAAATGTAGATGCTAGGCTGATTATTTGCTTTGTGCTTATTATCTCCTTCTCGTTTTCGTTATTTAAATGAGGCCAGGAGCCTGGTGGCATTAAGGGAGATTATTTCAAGTTTCTATTGCATAGGGCAGGCAATCCTGAATTCATGGTTTCAATAACAAGTTATTTCTGTTGTTCATGCCATTCTTTCTCACTCTCTCTCTCTTTTTCTGACTCAAGGACCTCTCTACTGGGTGTTCAAGGACAATGGTGTGGAGGAGGGTTATCCTCGCCCAATCACCGACTTTGGTTTGCCCCAAGGGGGCATCAGTGGTGCTTTCTCCTGGCCTTCAGACCAGAAAACCTATTTCTTCAAGGGTGACCTTCACTGGTGCTACGATGAGACCACAAGGCACATAGAGGAAGTCTCCCCTCTCCTCCACAAATCCTGGGAGCAGTTCTCCTCCTCTGTCGACTCTGTCTTGACTGAAAGCGATGGTGAGTTGGGCTGTGGCCCTCCAGGCTGATCTTGGGCTGACTCAGAAGTTTCATTGCACGTTGAACTGGGCACCTGGGAATCATGAAATGCCACCCGGCTCTCCAGTCTATCCTGTCCTTTCAAGGTAGTGCAGAACAGACAGGTATTTTGCACAGAAGGTGCTCGAAGGAATATCCCATAAAATAAAAGATCCTGATTTGCAGGTATGGGTGAAACACGCTTTATACCATCAGGGGTTGGTGGATACATTTGGAAGCATATTTTGAACATCATCACAATATAAGGTGTATACTGGTGTGGCCAGTGCTAAAGCACCTGTTTAATAGAAGGCAAATGTCCCAGGAAGGATACCTAGGAAGCAATCCATGGCAAACCACTTCTGAAAACCTTTGCCAAGAAAACTGTAGTGGCTTCTCCAAGCCTTCTCTGATAATCACACCCAACCCGGAGGAGGCCCAACCTGTGCGATCTTGTTGGTCATTGGGAGGTAAGTGGCAGGAGGTGGTCTCTCAGGT